TTTTATAAGCTTGCCCTGCAGTACTGCAGATAACAAATGTAATGTAATAATCAAACTTCTGTAACATGGAACACAGAAGGGGTGGGCTCACAGATCTATCTATATATACCCATACCACATCAACAAATTTTATCTTCAGAAGCAGGAGTATAAAGTAATGCACAATGCTGCTATTCATCATTCATACCCAGAGCAAAATATGTTGCTTTCAGAACCAGAATTTAGGCTCTTTGGGAGGGGGTGAACCACCTGAAGGTGGTTTCACAAAATTACATAAAAGCCTATCACCATGAGGTTTACAGATGCATTAGCGTTTGGGGTGAAAAAAAAAAAAAGCCTCTCAAAAGAAATGTATTTTAAGAAATAGTAAGAAATATAAGCTAATGTGAATGATGCAAAATCTAATTTATTTTTTTTCTGGCTACCACACAGGAAAAATCAAAGCCAACAGGAATGTTCCCCACTAGAAGAAGAAGAAAAAAAAATCAGCTACTTAAAGGAAGAAGAGGTTGACCATTCAGTTCAGTTACAGGAGATTGATCAAAGGTCTGAAAACAACAGCAAAAAGAGCTGGTTACACAAACCGAAAATGAGGAAGGGGAAGCTAGAAACATTCTCTTGGGCTTGCCAAGACAAGCAGGAAAATAAAATTTGTTAACACAAACCAAAATGGTTTTAAAAACGTATACTAGGAGTGGTAAATGCAGCAAGCAACAACAGTAACTCATAAAGCAGAGAACATTCCCTTGGTTAGTAAGGGACAAAGGGTCCTAAATACTGTCTAAAAATAGTCTCTCACAAGGCGGGGGACCGAGATGAAAGACAGAAGCAATGAGAAAATAATGACCGCCTTGTCTGGGTGGTGGCTGATTGTAGAGGTGATAAGGGAATGGTGGGGAGGAAGGAGTTAGACATGCGTGTGCCCACCAGCTCCAGATGTTGTGTTCCAGGGCTGAATGCGGGTGGCTCTTGTGTCCTCAGGGAAGAGGAGCCAGAGAGCTGCGACTCCACTTAAATCCTCCGAGCGCCAACAGTTCATTACACACACGTAGACGCATTCTCTACAGCCAGGGCTATGCGGAGAGCAGTTCAGAGAGCACGTGCCCACCACCTCAACCTGACTCGTCTTTCCAAAGAGCTCTACGGGGGTTGCAACTTCACGTTGTCACCGCATTAGTGCGTGCCCTTCCGCGACCGACAAGTCGAAAGAGCATACAAATATGAAATCTGGCGATGAGTAGTTACTGTATCACTCGCAATTGCTGCATTTTTAGATGTTCCAGAAATCCGCAGAGGTTACAGGGGGGAAAAAATACTGTTTGGGACACTAAACACTGAAAAAGAAGAGGACTCTTCCCAGCTATTGCTATGTTGAGATCCCAACGTGACATCTACAGCAAAGCAACCAAACCGAGACCTCGATCCTCTGAGGCTGTAAATTAAAGCTTACGTAGAGCCCGATTTGATGTTTGACATTGCCCAACTATATAGGTGAGCTAAGGGGAAAACTGGGAAAGAGGCATCTCCAAATACTCCATTACACCAAGACGACTGTTTGGTCAGTCCAGAAGCAGCAGGTTGGCTGGAGAGCACTGCGTTGGTGGTCAAAGATTCCCTAACAAATAGGTTGCTCCTTCCCTGTCTGTATGATGGAATGCACCTCGAGTCCCTGTGGGAGGCACTTAGCCTTTTCTCCTTAGACATTCTTCTCCTCTTCTATTTCCCAGCTGGGCTTTGTTGCCAAGGGGGAAATTTTTAATTATTCCTGAAAACTCCTCATTATTCCTGTGACATATATTAAGGAAAGGGCAACTACCCTATGCTTCAGAGAAACTCTAGAAAGATCTTTGCTGAGTAAAGCTTATGTAAAGAAATGTAAAGGAAATGGAAGGAGTACGTACATCATACAAATTTATATAATCTCTGCCTGAAAGAGGGACACTGTGTGTAACATACGCGATTGTGGGTTAGGTATCGAGGCATTTGAGCAACTTCTCTGCATTTTATTTGAGTCATTAATACTGACTGAGGTAAAAGCGGGGACTTGGCTTTCGCATTCCTGATCCAGAAAGGGAAATCTGCTTAAACCATGCTACTCCTGCTAGAAGGCAGGCTCCTTAGGAAGGTGGGAGTAGTTGTGTAAGGTAAGAACTGGCAGTGGCTTACCTGAGACATCCTGAATGACTACAGGCAGGTTTGAAAGACCCGTCTGGGGATGTGTGTCCCATTACCTGTCAGGAGACATTTTCCATTGTGCGTTAAGGTGAATGGGATCACGGCAGAGTAGGTATGTTATTCAGGTTAAAGGAATTTGTTAAGGTTCCAGAAATACTACTTACCTAGAAAAAGGCCGACCAAGCAGCAGAATCTATGTGGCTTTTAGCATCCGAGGGACTTTGCTACTTTGGCACCGGGAGAAAGTAAGTGGTTATTTAAAATATTTTTGTTCACAACTGAGAAATATCTTCTGCCTGCAAACCAGTGCAATACAGACACAAATATCTTCCACTTAAAATTTACATGAGTTTATAAACATTTTACAAAGCAGCGTCAAGCAAGACAGACTAACTCGGAGTAAGGGGAAGAAGCCGGTGCTCATTGTCTGCCCTGTCAAACTGATTTACGTTGGGTTTTTTATTCAGAAGGATCACGGTGAGCTTTTCAGCCAGCTTGTAAGAGTGCTACAGCATAGCCGAGAGCACACTGCCACCACTAAAATCAAGTATCGCTTGGTTCAACTACTTAGAGGGAGAACGAGAAATGTTTGAGACTGTTGTGGGATGAGCATTAACATTCTTCACCAATAGCTCACAATCCCAAAGGAAACACAGAGAGCTAAATCCATCCACATGTAAGGCTTTGTGTATCCATCAGCATGTTTATTGCCCCCAAACACCCTTCTCCTCCTCATCTCTCTAGCCCCTGAAGTTCAGAAGGATGTAGACTATGAAGGACTAACACTGAAAGGAAATAAAAATTGCAGGAAAGCCGAGATGGGAAAATTTCCAAGGCCGCATTTTCTTGCCAGTGACCTCCCTCGGATGCACTGTCTGCAAGGCAGAGATTGTATCTCCCAATGCCAAATCCCATTTCCAGAACAGGCTGCCAAGAGTTTCCCAGGATCACTGTAGGGTCTAAAGGTCAGCCATCCTCTTCCCCTCAGCGCAGTCCTCTGACGGGTTATAAGCCCGTAACATGGGTACAACACATGGTTGAGCACTTCTAGAGTAAGAACCAACCTGCAACCCAAAGCCTGATGAAAGAGGATGAGTTCAAACACTTTCTTTTTTCTTCCCCCCCTTGTAAAAGCATTTGAGATTTACCCTTTGTTCTGCTCAGTAGACCTAATGTAGAGCTAACACAAGGTTTGAGAACCCTTGCTGCAATTCAAAGCCGCCGTAGGTAGAGCTGGAAGATTGTCTGATCAAGATGAAGCTCCTGTTGCTGTGAGAAAAGGCTGAGCGCTCAAGATGACCCCTGCCCCGTTCTGACCAAAAAAAAAAAAAAAAAAAAAGTGCTGTAGCCAAAACTGGCAATCTGTCACAAATCTTCCTCCCTCCCTTGGTACCTTGTAGCATTCGATATCAATTAAATAAACTTCATCCAGCATTTCCAGTATCTTGGTTCCATGTAACAATAATAGAATTAATATGCTTAAAATACATTTTTTGCATGAATTGCAGAAGACAGAAAATCAATGTGCCAAAAGCAGCCTTTTGCTAATTTAACGTGCATTTACAGTTTAAATCCTGCCCTTTTTACAAGAGCTTTCCTTACTGAACTACGCATAGCCAGATTTTCATATTTACGTCCAGCTCTACATCTTCCCCCCTCACCCCACTAATTAATACGAAAATAGCCTAAAGAAGGTCACTGGTGGCACTGACATATTACTGAAAAATCAAGGCTTGGTTACATCATCACGACATACTTACGAACGCAGGCGATGATAACGGCCAGGTACGCAGGCACCGGGATTCTATATCCCGGTCCGAGAGGATTGCTACCTCTGAGCTTCCACAGGCATCATCAGGAACAAGAGGAAGAGCGAATACATGCCCATGAGATAACTCACATGCAGCGTTTAATGCTTTTCTCCAAGTCAGATTTCAGGATTTAACTCTGGAAGTCACAAACGATGTAAATTAGGCTCCGAGTGCTGACAAAGCACCGAGGCGGCACCCGCCTGAAGAACATCGCCCACAGATGAACCCCCCGCCTGGTGCAGAAGGCTGCTGCGCCAGCCCCAGGGCCCAGATCCCCTCCCGCTGCTCCCATTCTCTCAGCAGACTGTGGAAACGTGGCATTTCAGCCGAGTCTGAGCTTCACACTGTTCACAATTAGGCCCTTAATGTGTGTAGATGTAGCCATGAAACCTGAGCAGACTATTGCCAGCGAAAGAAGGCAGAACCGCTGTACCTACTACGTTTGCTCTGTGTGCAAATCAATCATTGTAACGGGTTAGAAACGTTCAGTAACGAGCAATCTCCTAATGGGACTTGTTGATAATGCTCCGTGACCGTACGCACCTCCTTGAAGGACACGATCTGATGCGTGGCTGAAGTTAACAGGGGCTTCTCTCTACTTCAGCCTAAGGAAGTCCAGGCGGCAGATGACTGCCAGGATCTGCAATTTATCTTATTTATGCAACCCGCAGCACAGTCACACAATCATTAAACCGTCAGTCTAGAAACAAGCCAAAAATGATGCAAGCTCTGCTGTTCAGATAATGTGCATTAAACCCACGAGCTGGCCATCAACGTGGCATTGAAAATGTTGAATTCCCAGAAATGGCACAGATCGCTTGGCTTCCACCTGGGAACCTGCCTACCAAGTTTGTGCCAAAGTCCACGTGCAGCTTTATTTTCAGTCCAGCAGTATTGAATCCTGAAGAAACGCATGTGAAATCTCACACAACTGGAAGGCGCTTTATGTACCCTTTATTTCCTATAGTCAGGGCTGCCCCGGCAGGACAAAAAAAGGCCAAACCAAGCACCAGATCCAAAATTAGCATTTTATTCAGAACGTTGGGGTCAGAGGTGTATCATTCAGATTCTGGTACACAATACAGAGGCAAAGCTGTTCTCAGTCTCTCCAGTTTGAAAGCTCCTTCCCCCTTCCCTCCCCGCCCCCAAAACATACTGTATATTTACTCGTGCCACCAGTATCGGGCCAACTCCCCTCCCCCTCCCCCCTCCTTTTTTTTGGTACAAATTATGTAAAACTTTTGTGCTAAGAACTTTTTTCCCTCCCCAAACAAACAAAAAAATAATAAAAATAAAAATAAAAAAAATATTGAGTACTCTAACTACAGTTCAACAGTTGAATCAATGTCACTTGTTTGCAACCTGTTTTGTAAATACTTTATCCATAACGAAAGATATAAACATGCAAAAACCTGAATCCATAGTCCAAATAATACATACACGTGTTCTGAAGTTTCTGCACTTCTCCACAGACTATGCCAATAAAACATTATGTACACATACTATTTTTTACAGTGAAGTGGGAAAAAAATACTAGAAATTAAAAAAAAGAAAAAAGTGTACATGGATTAAGACCAAAATGTGTCTAACATTCTAGCATAAGGAGAAAAAAAAAAAAAAATCAACTCTGCTACAAACTGGTGATATGAAAACTCCCTTTATTTGCAACCAGCTGCATAAGTTTTAGAATTTTAGTGAAAAAAAATCCCCTAACATCTAAAACTAGAAGTAATGTACATTGTTCCACCTCATGGCCTTCTCTCCCAGATAATAAAATTGTTCCACGAGGAATTTTTTTTTGTTTATTTTTAACCTCCTTATTTTAATAAAAGCAATGCGATGTAACAAAAGCATGTTGAAGCATATTGTGTTTCACCTTACTCCTCCCCACCCCAACATATTTTGTCTCTTTAATGCATCATTTCATAAATCAGTACCATTAAAGCCTTAAACATAAAACTAATTCCGATCTGAAAAAGGTACAAAAAGGCACATAAAATCCCAGTGCTTCTGTACTGTAAAATTCAAGTGTAACTGAGCTCAATATTTTTTTCCAAACAGCATTGGATCACTGATATTCCACGGAGCCCAAATTGGTTTGCAGCCTAAGCCAAAGCCTTCAGCAAGCACTTGTGCTAGTAGACTACAAAGTTAAAGCCTAGCTTCTGTATGCTTTTGGGGAATATCAGTTGAAATGTTTGTACTTGTCCAAAAACAAAGTTCACTTTGAAGTTCAGTCATCACCTCCACCGTACATATCGGCAAGTTTCTTGAAGCGCGGGCCCCAGTCATTTAGGTAGTCATAGTCTTGCTCACCACCACTACTCGAGGAGTTAAGGGAGCTCAAGGATCCAGCAGTGGAGCCGCTTCCTTCATAGTCAAAGACTAAGAGGGAGTCATACGGTGGGGCTGTAGGGTCATTGTCGGCCGCTTTAAGTCCCTGCAAGAAGGAGAGAGAGGGAAAAAGATGAAGTTCTGCACCTGAGAGAGAGGCCAAACACAACTGGAGCATCGCCCTGCAGTCATCCATCAACCACCACTTGAGAACACCAGGTTCTTGCTCTTCTGCAATCCAATTCAAAACAGGTTTCATGTTTTAGCAACCCCAGCAAGAACATACCTCAACTCCTTTTAGATTGGCCAAGTTTCCAGCTCTGCATTGCCAGACATTTCGAAGGTAGTCACAACGACAGCTCTAATAAAACCTTACCAGAGCATCACAGCGCTAGGACCGATGCTAATAGATGTACAGTTTCCGAGCCCCGCGGCACGAGCAATACGGGAGCGGCTAAACAGACAGGTGGGGAAGGAGAAACAGCCATGTTTGCGAATATTCCCTTTGACAGCCACCCCACACGGTCAGTAACAAATCCACTGACACTGCTGGCCTGCGGTCTATCCGCGGGTGCCAAAAGCTGTATTTAGGTACATTATGGAAAATTCATGTACCTCTGCAGGCCACTGTGAGAAAAGAGATACAGTATGTTGGCCTAAGCCTTATTTGCATTGCCATAACCACCCATTGGGTTCCCCCTGCTGCTCAGAAACACATACACAATGACATCAAAGCTAAATATATGATTATAACCATTCTTGTTGCCTCATTTCTAGGTATTCAAGTTACCAACACAGGAATATTGGGTCTTCGGTAATTTCAAATTTCTACTCTCTAGAGCTGAATAACCCAAACTAAACCCAAAACAAATAGAACAAGGGGGAAGTTGGGAAAGAACCACGCTTCTTCCAGAGAAAAGTCTTCTCCCTCCCTGTTTTCTTACACAGGTCCAAACCTAACCAGTAAGCTTAAATTCAGCACATGAGACAACTGCTCTGTGCGCATCCTGGGAAGATTTAAAAGTTGAATATAAAAGGCTGAAGCCTGAAGTTAAGAGCCCTCTTGTGTTTTGGATTTTTCAACCTCGCAGTTTCTTCCACGCTGTTAGCAATGCTTTCCTCAAGATCTTCCACTTCGAACAGCATCTACTCTGGCAGCCACTGACAAGGGATATCCTCTCTTCCAGAATTCTCTGAGGCTGAGCTAAGATTTTAAAATCACTCACTGTTAATTTTAAACAGTGCTATTTGTGCTGGTTTTACTGTTAATTTTTAATGTTTGTTTAAAGAATGGCTTTACTATACTCTCAATTATTTGAGGGATTGAGTACGCCTACTTCGAATTATTTAACACGTTCTGTTTTTAGAAAAGTACGTTTTACTCTCACTGTGTTTAGTTGAAATGAGACATAATGGAAACGGATGCTGCTTTTTCTTCTGGAAATACGTATATGGCTAAACCCAGTAATTAAAGCATACAGCACTGATAAGGCAGGAGAGAATCCTGATTTTTTATTGCCTATCTAAAATCATTCAGATGTGTGCAAAATGTACCTAAAATAATTTTGCAAATCAGTGGCGGAAAGGCCCAGCATATTTATCAAATTAATGACCTCTAATCAAGAACACATTTTGGACTTATATTTATCGTTTCACGTAGTGCAAAAAACATCAAGCAGGTTATTAATAGCCAGCATTAGAAGCACAATTTTGAATTATCTGATAAGAGTAATTGGTGATGCATGTTATCTTTCTCTTTGGAGTTTTCCAGCCTGATGGCCATAATCAGGACAAAAGATTTGAGACTGTGAAAAGGCAACAGCAAGTGTTGGAAGGCTTCCATTATCCAGCTTCAAAGCTGGAAACAGTTCTAAGGCTTCCTCTCAATTTCTGCTGCTGAAACAGAAACACAACTTTACTTCTCAGGCAGTAACTGGCCGTAGAGTATTTACGTATTGCCTTCAGACTGCCGGGGGTGACAGACACCCATGCTTTTTGAACACAGGTGACAGGGAAGGAGAATAAATACTACTTGAGCTTAAGGAGTGCTGAGGTATGAACCCCAGGTATCAGTGTGTAAAAATCATTTAGAAAGCCAGCTTGGAGAAGAAACGCTATTTTCCCTGCAGTTCTGCCTAGTAACAGCCAGCCAGCCATGGGATACTAATTTATTAAAAACCAGTGAACAAAACGTTTTCCTACAGCACTGCAGAAACCCCGATACCTATCAGCCATCCATGGCAAGGCGGCAGGCAGCCTCTTTCCATCTTTTTTTGCAAAGGGCAAGTTGGATTTTTTTGCAATTTGCTGCTAGTATCAGATAGCATTTAAAAAGAAAACTGGTTTCGAGCTACTGACTTACAAGATAGCATCTCACTAACAAATTCAGTGTTTCAAAGGTTGTGCTTAGCGTGTAATCCATTTCGTTCAGAGAATGTAGCTACAGGCTGTGTTATACAGGTATTGACTCAACTGCACAGCCCAAGTTACACTGACATTTGCACCTATCTTCTGGCTAAAAATTCCTCATAGATTCATAGAATAAGCACTGAACTTAGTCTCTAACTCTTCAAACGACAACCAAGTTTTCTGCTGTATTTGTGTGGCGAATTACATACTAAAACGACACAGAAATGCAATTTTTTTCACCTCCTCCTCTGCTAAGCATATTCTCTGAACCTACCCCAGTGCACTGCTCCACTTTGCTCTTGGGTTCTACAGCATGTCTGAAGCTGGAGTTACTGGATGTCAGCTCTGGCAGTGAAACTGGCTTACGATGCTCCCTTTTGTTTCAGTATTGCCAGGCGTTTTGCTCACTATGTCATCCCTTTCAGGGGGTGGAACCACAACCTGCTGTACTGGCACAACTGAAAAGGCAACAAATGGCTGCCAAGAACTGCTTCTGCTGCTGTGGTACCGTAAACTGCTTCTGAAGAGAGCTCGGTGTTTCCCAGATGTGTTCAACAATCTCAGAGCAGCAGAGATGTTACAGTCATTTGGTTTACAGTTTCCTGATCTGAAAACCCAAGGTCTTTACTAGCTAGAGAAGCTTGTTCAACAACAGAATTGCTGGGGCCCACACCTGAGATCAGGTGACCCTCCTGGGAGATGCTGAATTAAGTCACACTTCCTTGAATTCGCTACAGCACCCACGCACACGCAGCAGCCACGCAAGAGCCACGGCAGTACAAAAGGTCACCTTGAGACCTAGGGCAGACTGAGTAGCAATCTGATTTTTCCTTTTCCTCTTTCATATATGTCATGGCAGCTTTCACTAAAGAGGTGATAAGGGGCAGAAAAGGAGAAAGTACAGTGCCTCGACTGAGGAACAATGGTAACCTTGAGTTATACTTTTCTCAGTATGCATAGCATTCTCAATTTGTCTCAAATCAAATGAAAGCAAAACCCTCAAAATCTTGAGCTAACATGAAACATCACAAAATCTAATGCTTTTATTTTCATTAATCCTACTACTTAATCAGATTCAATAGACTCTTCACGAGAAGGAAAGGAAGAACAGAGCCCTACAGGGAAATAAAAAAAAAAAAAAAATATTTTAAATCTGGAACCATTTTTTACTTGACAAGAGAAGAGACAAAACATCGAGGGACCCTATTCTGCTTGGAGGTGCACTGCATCAATAACCATTTACTAAGAATGAATTGAGGGTCCTCCATGCCCTCATGGGATGAGACCTTTAGTTTGTAATTTAAATTTAATTTACCTCAGGCTATGTCCTCTATTGATTAGAAATATATTCTTAGCCGCAAACTCTCCACCACAATATAATTTGTTTAAGATTTCTAGGGGCAGCTCAGGTGGTTCCTGAAAACGGGATTAACAAAGCTACTTCAAAACAGGCCTAATTTATACTGTCTTGCAAATCCTGACTATTCTCAGAGTTAATTACGTTCCACACTCTGCAGGTTACGTTTTAGAAGGCTCAAAAGGAAAACAAGGTCTACGGAGGATTCTTAATAACACATGACTTATCTCACTGTCTGGTTTGTACACCGGACTTGAAGAAAAGAAGGCTTTTCCCTTCGTCCCTTAAATTACAGATTCATCTATCCATTGAAACAGACAAAACAAGAAAGTCCAAGGTTATTTATCTCATGCCTGCAAAACATATTTTGATTATAAGGCACCTCGGGAACCTTCTTATTTTAGAAAGTTCATAGCTCTGTATGTGTTAACTTTGTAAGTGTGATAAAAGTATTTGAAGTTTTTATCATACTTGTAACTTGTTTTTCAACTGAGAAGTCATTAGAACACTACAAAATACTTATACTTACGTACATCTCATTGAGGTAAGTACATACAATACAACTGATTACAGCTAGAAAAGAAGACACCAGAAGAAACTAAGTGCTGCTGAAAGAAGCACAATGACCCACATTTACCTACTGTAACAAAAAAGAGAAGAAAAATACACCCCACGCTTGCTCAGCGATGGTAGCTAATTTCTCCAGTATCTGAAATCAATGACCTATAGCTCTTGTTTGGCAACAGGTGGAGTAATTCAGAGGCTAATCTGAACAGTGCTGGCTGTGTGTCTGAGGTGCTGGTGAATGGTCAACAGACTAAATGAATTCCTGCACACAGGCCAGCATCCCAAAGGACCATGCTGATCAGCATCTCTGGGAATAGGGCCAAGCCCTCCAAAACGTGAGATCGATCTCCAGAAGTGTTGCATCTTTTCAAACCAACGGGGTAATGCAGACTTTGCTACCAAGGTACTGGCAGCTCAGAGGCAGCCCCCCTGGCCCTGCTCAGCTAGCGACCCGGATAGTTTTGCAGGCGATTTGGGTCAGGGCTGCCCCAGGGAAAAGTACAACTTGGCGTCACAGTGGAACAAAGTTCTTGGCCTAAAGATGCTGAAGCTGGATGCAAAGAGATGTGAACTTTGCCCTTTCTTATCTGCCATGTTGTTTTCACAGCTCTGCGTATCTTCTGTATGAACTGCCCTAAGAAATATCTGGTACGGGTTTTACCCAAGATATTTCTTCCATCTACTCCACGTAAAACTCAGAGGAATTTACCAATTTGGGTATAATCTTGCCAGGACTGCAGGTGGAATTCTCTGAAGAGAATCCAAAAACCTGTGCAGTCTGAATGCTTATGCTATAGATGCTGATAATTTGGAAAATTAACTTTGAGGACTACTGTGAAAGACTTCTTTTTTCCTCCAAAACATTTTCATCTTAATTTGTGTTTTATGTTAAAATTTGCCATGGCAAATGTGATTCTAAAAGTCTATTGGAGGGAAAAAAAGAAAAACTTCATTTTGTCCAGACTTCAGGCAAAACAGACCGAGCATGGACAAACTTTGGGTGGCTACTGTCAGCTACAAAGGGTTAGGTGGAATGCCCTGTAGCAAAATGATACATTGCTGTGAAATTCTAAGAAAGAAATACCTTATGAAAAGAAGCATCTAAATATATAATGCTTGAAACAGAGAAACTAGCTTGTATAATTCCTTTCAATCAGAAGATACAATGAATTCTGAGCTAACTTGCACACAAGAAAATTGACATGTTTTCTTTAGTTTCATACGCATTTCACAAGTTAATCTTATTTCAGAGTCAATGACATTACTGGCAGTATTTTACTGTGTAAGAATAGCTAGGAGACGCTCTCTCTTTTGGGTGGATGGCGAGGGAAGCATAAAGGGAAGTACTGATCTAATACAATAGACAGCAGTAAGAAAGCGACTCCATGCTTGTCCGTACCGCGCTATAAACACATTGGGTTAAATCAAGACAGGGTATACTGTTTCTACAGCTCTGTGTGTACACACTGATGCTATAATCAAGAGTGATAACCAATTGAAACACAGTATTGCAACAACAGCCTGCTAAGTAATTTAAAAATTGTAGGAAGCTAGACAAATGATCACCATTTTCTGGCTTTCCAGGATAATCACACTCATTCCTTGTCTTGGTTCTGCAAGAGATCTTGATAGCCGCTTTGAGGGCAAGAAAACTCAGGGTATGGAGGATCATGGGTTCTTCCTGACCACCTGCCAGGTGGGTAGTGTTTGAACACAGCGGAATGAGAACAGGAGGGGGAAACTGGTTGTCTCGAACATGAAGCACAAGGAAGTTCTTGTGTCTACGCTGCCTTGGCCAACAATGTGGGCCTTTTATTGCCCCAGCTCTCCACTATTTTCCAGAAGCCAATTATAACTGTAGTATTTAGAAGTGAAAGGCATTTAAAAATCCTCTTTGTTGAGACACCTCTTTCTAATACAGCTCTTCCCCAAACCTGGAGTCTCTTAAAATATGTTTTATGAGAATATTCATGTTTACTCCTAGTTACTCCCTCTAGTTTTTCCCACAATTGTATCACTGCGTATCTTGAAATGAGCAAACTCAATTTTCTGCAACTTGCTAACACATAAAGACTTCAGTATATTAGCTGGATTTCCTTTAAAGAAACAAGAACAAACACGTTTGCAAAAACAGTTCTGCAAAGCTTTGCAATACTTGTCCAGCTCTAATTGCTAAGGAAGATGTGAGAAAATTAGAGAAAATTATTAACTACCACTATTCATGTACAAAATAGAAATTATTTTTAAGTGGCAAATTCTGAGTTAGTATTTGTTTTCCTACAACCAACAAGCACGAGAAACACATTCTATCTTAAGTTCCACAAAACCAAATGATTTACGACTGACCAGCAATAGAAATAATGAAAGAACTATTTGCTGTAACATTTCTTCCAGAACTGTGAGTAATCTGGTATAGTCTGAATCTTACTTACATTTATCTTTATTAGATTGAAGAATCAAAGATCATGCAAAGACTTTTAAAGCTCTATGGCAAGGCAAGTATTAAAAGCACTTACATAACGTTTAATTTAGCTGCCCTGCTCACTAATCGTATTTGATGAATTTCTTTTGGTCTTATTGAAGGTACTGAATTCCCACTATTATCTGGATTCAAAGGGTAATGTATGAGGAAAATGAAAATGAACTTCTTCCATTATTAAATTACTGTGACTTAATAAATGAATTTAGGCTAAACTATAATTTTGTTAGTCTATTTATTACTTGGAAACCATAGAATAATCCTGCTCTGAGATACTGTGGTTACAGCTGATAACGTATTATGAATGTAATTAATATAAACGTAGAGAAGTTAATTGATATATCTTCCCTTTCTGTCTGAATGAGTTAATTAAATTTGTCTGCACTTTAAAAGAACATATTTACTTCTGTCTAGCAAGACAATTTTAATTGTCTAAGTAAGTTTTAAAAAGTTATGTTCAAACATAACAGCTACTCATGCAGAGTACAATTAACAAAATATAAAAGCTTATCAGATCTTAGGAGGAAAATTTTTCACTCCCTTACCTCATTAATGAAGTCCCCAATGTCCCCAGGATGAGGAGCAGCTGATCTGACTGGATACTGAGGTTCTGCATGGATTGGCCTTTCATCAAGACGCCTGATTCCAACAGGTTTGATGGCATCTGGTTCCACAGTGTCAGGCTGCTGGAGCTGGCTCAAGTCATAATCCTGCAAAATACGAAACAAAGACAGTACGTTAGGAGAATTTCAAAACAATATCTGTCTGGGAGAAACATGAGGAGGAAAAAAGGGAAAATGCAAAGTGTCATTTCACCAGAAGTCTTATTTTCAGCATTGCAACACTTACTGAGAATAAGTCAATAACAACATTATTTGCATACCAACAGGATGTTATTTGATTTACACTCCCTGAATCTACTGTTTTGATTCTACTCCATCAGATTTGGAAAGCCTCTCTTAAGTTTTCCATTGAGAAGCAAGGATTTGAGTAGTACTATTAAGAGACTAAACACTTCGCCTAGTAATGATGATTTACTGCATAGAGCAAAGATGCCAAATCCAACTCTTATTTTTCTAAGCAAGTAAATGCCAGACATTCTCATTCTGAGAAAGAGGCAGGCACACTGCTCTGTAGCATTTTATAATACCTTCAAAGAATGAATTTAAGACTCCTTGCTGATTTCATGTGGCTTCCATAATATGAAAGCCAAAGGGGGAAAAATGTCATAAGAAGTACAAAGCTCCTCAGATTTGGCCTTAATTCTAAGCACTTTCTAAAGATTACTTGTGGATCTGTTCATTAAGTACTTGATGCCGCAGTTTCAAACTCTGGCAGACTGATGAAGCTAGCACAGCACTATGAATTCCAATAAGCAATATGTACGTATATAACATTTTTAATTAGATGAATGTTTATGCATTTAAGATAGATATGCCTGAATACTATTTGCAGAGTGTGATGCATTTCAGCATTGTCATTCACCTCACTACTGCCATGTCTAGAAGGTAGTCATGCTCTAGGATGCCTTTGCACAAGGCCCTGTTAAAATGCAGAATAAAGAACTGGGCTTAAAGGTTTAAACTAAAGCCACTCATGAACTACCAGTAGGCTGGAGCTCACGCCAACTCTCCTGTATGCCACATACCCTGCCCCACAAATAATCCAAGCAGTTGAGGAGCATCCTAAATAAACTCCTGTATCATCAGCCTCTATTCTTCAACAGTGTGGTTCTGGTTTAAAAAAAAAAAAAAAAAAGGTGGCATCTTATTTATAATCTCAACTTGCTGGAAGCAGTCTGTGCAGACAATTGCACTTTCACTGGTTCCTAACTGGCTCCTAAGGGAAGGAATGCAAGCATTTACTTCTGCCGTCACCTCACGGGATGTAGGTGCTTTGAGAGTATTACCTACTGTGACCCCAAAACCAGACTTTTCAATAGGAGGAGAGTTCTGTTGACAGTAGTGAAGGTAGTTTTCGGGAGAACCATAACTATGAAATCCACTACACCTTCTAACTTGTTACTAGGGTCCTCAGCTGACTGCACACAAATATACAGTCAAAAAGGTGGAACAGCTCCACTGAGATCTGAGAACGCAGTTTCATATGCTTTAATTAGATTACAAGTTCCTTGGGGCTGAGCTGTAACTTTTACCCTTCGGCTTTTCATGTACCAAACAGAAAAATAAGTTATCTCCATGAAGTGGTATGAATTGGAGAAAAGTAAACAGAACTTTTCATCCTTTTCATTACATAAAATAAATCAAAGTAGTTTAGAGCCATGCTATCAGAAAATCCTATTAAACGGAGAAGAGAGTACTTTTAATAATTTATAAATATGTAACACGAGTGCTTTTCATATCCACCCAAAAGATAAAGGTGGAAAACACCCACAGGGAGAAATAAAAAATACTTTTTGTTTGTTTGTTTTTGTTTGTTTAAATACTAGAGCATTTCCTTATGGAGGAATTCAAACAGATATGGTTGTTAAATAACAATATACTGAAACCAGGAGAGCCTCTGTGGTCATTTCAGTTTTGTAAAGATAGAATGTTTTTTCCACCCACTCACGTATTCATACACTTCCTGCTGTTAGTGGTCATACAGAAATGCAATATGAATCGTCAGTCACTCTAGTATCTTCACATCTAAGGCCATCCCCTTGAGTGTGTGTGTAGTTTGAGACATCTCCAGCCTCTACAGCTAAAAGGACAGCAGACTGCCATCCGTACGGCAACAGCAGTGCGGAATAGTCTCTCTCTGGTTTTCTTTTCTGGGGTAATTTATGACACTTGCATCTAGCCTTCTATCAGAGGAAACCGTATTTCGCAGGTCTATTAGTGTCTAGAAAGGAAGAGAAGATCCATTGTGCTTATTACCACAGACTCTCAAACCTCTTGTATCATTAAAATCAATGCTAACAGTACATCAGTCAGGTATGGCAAGTCATCCACCACCTCCCCAAACTGGCTTAGTGCCGTACAAACACATGCAATGACTCCAGCTGTTTCAACATTCTGTCTAAAGTCAGCTCTACTCAATTCTTGCAAAGTAAAAGGAAGAAAAATGTTTTAAAGAGCCAGGGCCCTAAGCTGTTTAGGGCTGCTGAAATTCCATCTCTTTGCTCAATGCAGCATTCACAGCTAGAAAAATGGGACAACTTTTCATGTACTACCTAAAGCTCCGGAACAGACTTTAAGGTTAGTCTCAAGCAGAGTTCCTTCAGATATTTAACTGCAGAAGTGACAGAGAAATGGAAAACTATGGCACATCAGAGACAGAACAAGACATGCTGGGGTAGGCTGGGACAGCCAGCCTGGAACAACATTCTGAGTCATTATTTTTACTCTTAATTTCAGGACCACAGGTCAACAATGTTTTGCCTTTGGCTCCAGTCTTTTTCCATAAAATCTGCTCATAATTACAATCTCCTGAGGGACTAATGAGTAACAAGATTAGGCTGTCCATTGGAAATGTACTTGATAAAAAGTTGTGAGCATCTAATTCATATGGCTGCCTATTTTTGTCAGTTACATTTACTTATTTATGCTGCTTAGGCCTATCTCCAGCAATTTTAGAACAAATACCTATTTCCCTTCCTTCAGTTTGGATTTATGCAAATCCAAACAATGGGTTTGAATTTTTCTCCTCAGACTTCTGAACAAGGTTAGATTGTTGACTGGAGAATCTAGTATTAGTTTTTCTCTAAGGGAAGGTGGCTAAAACATGATAGTTTTCCTCCCATTTTGCATCTATCAAAAACACGGGCCTTTAGAAACCAGAAATTTAGACTAGTCTGATTGTCCAAGTCTACAGTCAAAATGGAACCAAAAACCTCCCATTCTATGACAGGGAAATAAGTGACACAAGCTGCATCATCACTTGTCTTTCCCCTTGTTTATAGAGGGATCCGATATCACTGGATGAGACACTACAGCTACCTTTTAGGTAACTGGTGATTAGCAATGATAACCTTAATGCTTTATCACTGTAACTCCCCAGGTAACCACCAGCACTTCTCTCTTTGGTTCTGGCGTCTCTACTTGCTCTTGCTGAAAAAAAGCCCTGACATGTGTACTGAAGCAGAGAAAATCTGGCTTTCATTTGCTTTTAAGAAAGAAAATAAAGTCAAAATGTACTAAAATGCATTTTATCACAAGTTGCATCTTGTGAAATTAAGCAATCTGAAAAAAACCCCTGCAAAATCCCACCAACCTCCTCCCCTCCGAGCACTGACCTTATTAGCTATTCAGTTGGTTCTAGACAGCTTTCAGCAAAGATTTACACCATTACTAGCTCCCACCTCACATTCCTGAGATGTGAGATCCCAGAGTGAGACAGTGCTAAATGGCAAAAACAGCTAGCCAAACCCCACAAACCACCTTACCAGATGTGTAGGCAGAAAGGTCCAAAACCCCAAAAAGCACTTTAAGAACATCTACACAGTAGCTGGAAGCACAGGCCAAGTATCTAAACTTGAATAGAAGAAACATCCAGAAAAGGAGAAACGGCCATTTTATATTCCACAGTAATCACTGATTTACAGAGAATCAGGATAATTCAGCCTTCCAATCCTTTAACAACTTCCTCTTGTGCAAGGCAGCTAGCTATTCATTTAACTGCAGCAGCAGAGATCTTTTAAAAAGTAGGTTGCTTTCTGACTGACATTTACCAAATTCTACAATCCCTGGGAAGGATAAAAAAAAAAAAAAAAAGATGAGGGGATAGGCCAGGAAATAAAGTTTCTCAAAAGCTTCTGGTTTTATAAAGCTAACTTTATTTTTTCCTGGATTAGCTGTTCTGGTTATGTTTGCATTTTAGAAGATTTACTTACGGTCTTAGTAAAAACTTTTATTTAAAGATTTCTACAGCAGCGGATCCTACTTTATAAGAATGCATACTGGAACATTATAAAGCAGAACTGCAAACAACAGAATCAAACCACAACTTAATAAAACTATAAATTGCTATGCGTAGACAGGACTGACTTCTTTCCAGATGGGAAAACTCTCAAAATATTGGAATATATTACATCTAAATTGAGCTTTCCACTACTGTTTTCTTTAACACTGATATATCCTAGTACATGCAACCTGACTGACCTGTTCATTAATGATTTATGAATCTGGCTTTTCTGTTATCTCAGAGCTCTCAGGATATTTCCTGGCCATTCATTAGACTCTGTTATACACTTAGTGACGACTTGGTTTTTTGCCTGGTACCGAACTAAAGCTTTGGCTATGCATGAATACAAGCCTGGACATTTGACTGATATAAAAACTCCACCTGTTTCTTATGTTCAAAGGATGCAGCCTTTACAAACAAATATGAAAGTTCAGATCTAGCCCCATACAAGATACAATCAATTCAATTGTCACTAGATCACTTAATTTGACGATGAGAGCTCTAAGTGTCATCCCTGAAATGAAATCAGCTGCAGTGTCTAAGTGCATATGTAAAGCAGCACTGGCAGAAGTTTGTATTTCACTCACCCCTTTTACAGGATGGTGCTTTAGTGTAAACCCAATTTTATTGTTGGCTTGAGAGAACAGAGCAAACTGTGACTTGTAGTACCTACAGATAAAACGCATGTCCTGCTCTGCCTCTCTGTTCCAAAGACAATTAATGTCAACTCCAATATAGAAATGGGATGGAGAAGCAAGGGAACAAATAACTTTACACAGCTCAATGTCCCCATGTGCCAAGGTCT